GCTTACTGATCAATGACCTCATGGGAGGAAACACGGCTGTCATGGAGATGGGTTTTACTTGATGTTACTGATCCTGAAAAAGAAGCTATCTTCAGTTCCTGAATCTGCATACATGTTATTAAAGGACCATGATACTTTAAATCTAACTAGACTGTCTTCTATGTTGGCCAGCTCTGCAGCAATCTATTTCTTGCCAAAATAATGCATCTGGAGCTTCCCTGTATTAGAAGCATTTAACTCTTCTGCAAGGCTCCTATTTCTTTGGTAACTTTTCTTTGCTTTTGAGTGCCTGGAGAAGAACATCCGAGAGTACTTAAATACTAACTGAGCACTAGGATACATTAAATACTAACACTATCAGTATAAATCTCTTTCTTCTAACTTACTATAAGCCCTCTGCTGCAGGTTTGAGATGCTGCAGAATACTGTTTGTGCAGATGTCATTGTTTGGGTTTCTCCATCTGCTTGAAGAGCCACTTGATCATCTCTGCTCCAAACCAATAAGCATTTAATTTCACCATCCCAACTACATCATTCTTTCTTACAAAAAAACAACAAAAAAAACAAACAGAAAAAACCAAAACAAAAAAAACTTCATAAAAAACACACAACAAAACCCCAAAACATATGCTGCCCGAAAGGCCAGAAATGCCACACATTCTGCATCACCTGACAGTCAATATCTTTGAGTATCAGGTGAGATGTCTGCAGAAGCCCTTTTCCTCCAACATTGGTTTGTTTAACATCAAATTTCACCACACAGATCAAGAACACTTAACACCCCCAACTGTTTACCCAAGATAAAAATTCATGCAATCTGACTCCGTACCCGCTCCTGTTGTCCTACTTCTGTCTGTATTTTTATTTGTTTGCTCCAGTAGATTTTCCTGACTTAGAAGAAACAAGCTAACAAGGTAAACACGGACTTGAAGATAATGCCAGTAAGAATTTGTACTTGGAAAGCACTTCCCATATCTGCTTATTTTTACTGCAAAACATTCCCCAAAGGGAATAGGCACAAATACAGAAACAACTTCAGCAGAAAACACTCTTATAAACTTAACAGCAAACGTCTAGGTCTACAATAAAACTTGCTGTTACGTTTTCAGCATCTTTAAAAACTTTCTTCTTGCCTGTTCTGTTATCATTACTCACATTAGTTATCTTGTTATGAATATTTAAGAAGTCTCACAGGAAAGTATGGGCATGGCATTCAAGTAAGATTTCCTGCCTGTTAATCACCACAGGGTGACACCTTCCTGATACTGTCCGCTAGAGCAGAGGCAACTGGTCTTTTGGAAGTTACGTTGAAAGGGAATAGTACAAGGTAACAGTGGTAGTCGATGTTTAGTATAGTAACAGATTTATTTGTTCAGTATAGTAATAGATTTGGTAGAACTTCTTAACAACAAGAGAGGGGAAAAAAAAAGCCCCCCGTGTATACTCCCCACCTTCAGCAATATTAAGACATGTAAAAATAAAGAAAGGATAGGAAAGGAGAAATGGACACTGCATTATCTGAAGAAAAGGCTTCTCAGCCATTATGAAGAACACTGGGAATGTGAGAATTTAAAAGATTAAAATGAATGGTCTTCTTATTTCAGTATTTGAAAGGAATGACAGAAGCATGGATACACAGGTCAGTTTTCTAAAAAGACAAATTGTAAAAAGTATAAACCTGTATTTTAGTTTGTTAAAAATGTGCATTTGAATACCTGTGGTTGCACATGAGTTTGTACTGTACACTCACAAAATTTTGCAAAGACAGGCAATTTTGAGAATTGCTTATGAACATGTCTATAAAAAACTAAGGCTTTCCCATATTTCATAAAATACTTCTTACCTTAAAACTCAAGAGCCATATGAAAACTTCACAACTTCTAGTTAAAAAATAAGTAACAGAAGCACAATAACGTTTACCCACAAGGAAACTAAAAGCCAGTCCATAAAGCCACGATTTCCTATGACAGACAAATTCCTAAGAGAAAAGATCACCCTCACCCATTATCTTAAACCTCAGTGGAGCTCATATTCTGAAGCTTACACAAAAAAATAAATGTCTTTCATGTTATAATGAGATATTATAATTAATATAATAATGATATATTATTATTAATGAGATATCACTTCTGAGATATTACATTCTAAACACTGATAGTTACATTTTTCAATTGACTTTTACTACTCTGATAATAAGTCTTTCAAAACAGCCTAGATTATAACAATATAGGACAAAATATTTCAGTCTCTGCCTCTTTAGTTATATTGATGACTATGAAACCAACACAACTCCACAAGAACTAACTTGCAAAACTTAAAACCTGCCAAATTTAAAACTTGCCTCTTGCTACATTGATTATATTAAAATAATCGAACCTAAATGTTGTTGTTATGTCGTACACCATACAAAGATTGCAACTGCCTACTTAACTAACTTTTTGATACGAGAGCACTTCAAATTCCATCAGCATTCAGAGATGCAAACCCCTCCAATTTTAGTCATTCCCTGTTAAAGGTAAGAAAATCGGTACAGTGAGAGAAAAGCATTTCTACCCTAGCCCCAAAGTCTATCGCAGAACATGAAGAATTTGACAAGAGTCACTTTTCTTGAGGCCCAACCACATCAGTACCAGCTTGAGCTGCAGTTTTCTAAACTATTGTGCAAAACAACTACTGTGCTAAAAATATGTTGTTACTCAAACTTTGAGATATTCTCTCCAGAGATAGAACTTCCTGATAGGAGATTCCAATTAATAGGAAGTGCCCTTCCTGTGTTTTCTAGACTGCTAGGCTAATGAGTTTGTTTTCAACAGCCTTTAGAAAAAAAGAAGCAGATTAACCAATTGCTTGGTATTCACAGCTTTGAAGTGAAGCAACTTTGTGTACACAAAATGTACATGTAGTAGACTGCAATCTCCTCTATTCTGGCACAATGCTGTAAGCAAGTTTGGTTTCCTTTGTGTTTCTGAAGGAATTCATACAGGACTTGCCTTGAGACCTTGTCAACTAGTGACTTCTACTTTACTCTGCATGTAGCCCTGTTAGAAAGTGGTGGGATTGTTTGTCAAAGAGCTGAGCACAAAGGTAGACTCCCACTTCCAGTAAAGTTACTTTTATACAGAGAAGGTGAACCAATCTGTCCATGTGTATACAGCTATGCCAAACCTAACCGACTCACTCCAACTATATAAAAACACTATAGAAATTCACAAGTTTTAACTTAATAACTACAGAACATATAGTCTGTAGTATAATACAAGGGAAAGA